CCCCAAAACCCCAAAACCCCAAAACCCCAAAACCCCGAAATAATAATTTAAATTTGAAACAATAATTTGGCACCCAAATGGAAATTATCAAAGCGTTGAAAGAGCACCCTTATGCCACAAAGAAGCTCCAAGTGTGCGTTCTTGAGTACTGAAACTTAGTAATAAGAGGAGAGAGCAGACTGGACTCTAAGCAGATGAGCGTGTTTATCAACAACACAATACATTTGTTCACACATAGAGCTGCCTCCAAGCGGACATCTGAGTCTAGTAAGCAAATTAGGGAGAAGAACCAGGCAAAAGATGGAAACCAGAGTCATGGGGATCTAAACCTTCTTGAAAGATCGTAAGTGGTTTCTTCAGGAGTATTTCCGCCTTTCTGTGAGCTTTTTAACCCAAGCAAAATTAATTTTTACAAATAGAGATACAGGAAAACCTTCAGAGTGATGGCTTAATTCTGAGTCAGAGAACAAGCCTCTCTACCAAGTGTGTTGAGATGGGATGCTTTTTATATACATTTCATTTTTGGAATCGAACCCTAAAATAATAGCTCCTCATTTGTACAATCTGATCATGAAGCAAATAATGAAATCGAAAAATACAGAAATTGGTCTTGTAATTCTCATATCGAAACTTCTAGTTAGCTCTAACTTTATGGTTCAGGTAAGATTCTTAAAATGATCAGTCTAGACATTCAAGCAGAGAAATGCTTCTAGAATCCTGATCAGCATTTTAAAGAAGTACTGCTTCCAGAAAGTAGCCTCGAATGAAAAACCATCTGTGCCAGACCTTCATTACAGAAGAGCTGAGAGCTTAAAGGTAGATTATGATCAAATTTCGGACTGGAGTTGCTCCTATAGACAAGGCAACTCACATCAACTTTCTGAAATTGCTGAAGCCCATAGTGATGATCCTCTCAAATCAAGTAACTTTGTTGATGCTGTGAACAAACTGACTCCATTAGAGATGAATAATTATTTCTCTAGCAATAGATCAAGAATCGCTGGGAGGACTAAAAGCAAGGATCTTACTGAGTCTCAGATAAACGCTGAAGCCGCATTTAGTAAATTTGTTGACCAATATCCTATCCAAGAGGAAGGGAGGCCTGAAGGAGCATCTACCATGATGAAAGCTCATTCTTTTGCCAAACCAGTTCTCCCGCTTTTAAATATAGCTAAAGTTAAAGATGGTAGTCAGAATATCCTGGCTATCAAGGGGTTCAATGACATCACTCGGAATCAGAGTTCAAGGTCTCCTCACCTTTCAGTCGGCCTTTCCAGAGTCGGAGCAGCAGGAGAATTCAACGTCAGTAATTATGAAGCAGAAGGAAGCATTGCCAAAGGCGAATCATCGAGAAGAGATGAACCATCTACTCTCAATAAAATTGGTAAAATTGCAAATAAGTTAGGTGAAAATGGGTTCATTGAAAGCCTCCCAGCTATGGTTAACTCTCTCAGTGGGGAGAAATATTACGAAACTTTTGCGAGCAATAAAGGATTCTTGAACACTCAAGATGTATTTAAGCTAAGAGATTCTTATCCCACAAAAACTTGCTCATGCAAACTAGAAGGGAAATATCTCTTGCTTAAAGGTATAAACAACACCAGAGAAGAGAAGAAACTCAAAGAGGATGGAGGAGAGTACCGCCATAACTCCGTCGTCCATGACTTTGAGAATGATAAGATGCGGCTCTGCTTGCTGAACTTGTTTAAAATATTTATAGAACGTTTCGAAGTTTCTGAATTCCAAGGATTTTTCAATTCTCATAATCCTTCAAACCATACTGTGAATCTCCTGTACTGACATCTGGCATCAGATGAGATTAATTATAGGATCAAGGAGACTTATGATAAATTACTCTCCCAAGAGCATGGAAAATTAGACGATGAGATTTTTGAGGGAAATCACAAATTCACAATAGATTTCGACGGAAAAATCCATGACACTGAGGAAGTTATTAATCTTGATAAGAACGACCTCTCTAATGCATCATATATTGACCATCTCTTGAGAGGAGATGCATGGAAGATCCAAGAAAATAGTTTTAACAAATCTGTCACAGATTTGGGTGATTCCGATATTATCAATACTATCCAGAAATTTTCGATTTTCAAGTGTTCTCTTTCCTCAGAGAAGGTCACAATCTTCAAAATCTTGCAAAAGGTTTCGTTATGAAGTGAATATATCATGAAAATGCAAGTAGAAAGTTCTCTGAAGCATCTCTCATCATCACAAGAGCACTTTGAACATTACGGAGACACTTATGGACTAGGTTTATCAAGAACCCAGCTTCCTTTGGCCAGTGGAGTTGGGTTTGCAAGCCCATCTAAAAGCTTAAGGAATCCAAACAACATTGGCTCTTTTGATGCGACAGGGATGACCATTCCTTCCCTGAACAAAGAATCTCAAAACATTTATTGGTCGAATGGAATCGCTTACCAAGGAGAATCTGTTGATAAGGAAAAGCTGAGGAAGAAGTCTGATACTTTCTTACTAAGAATTACTAATAGCCTAGTCCATAAGTTAAGCAATCTGATACCTCATGAAATCTCATGGTGAGAAGAGATCAATAAAGACTTGCTCCTTCTATCCCAGTATATTAACAAAGTTCATTCCAGGATCAGTATTTTCCAGATAATTGACACCGTGCTGAACCCGCTAATCGCAATCAAGAAAATTTTGTCTGAAATTATCATGAGAGACAGGAAAGGGTTCCACACCGCAACTGGGATGGTTCAGTCTCCCTTCTTAAACATTGAATCTCGGAGAAGTGGGAGCAACACTGGCAACTCTCCTGGTCTCTACAAATTCCGAGAGACTTCTAATAATAAAAGAATTGAGCAGCAATATGAGAGATCTATTAGAGAAGTAATTTCTCTCTATCTGGACACTCTCTCTGCAATCTTTAACAAATGCAAGACTCAAGAGACTTACAGGATGATATGAGAGATCTTTATCAAAGACAGTGAGTGGCGGGACTCAGTCCAGTCCTATACAATGTTCCTCTTTAAAGTGGAGCTTATGTCTGAGCAATGCAAGAAGATTTTGAATCTAGACCATAAAATTACACTCACAAATATCGAAGAGTCTTTGCTGAACAAAGAACTAATATTTAAAGAGTAAGTACTTGAGGTTCATACTTTAGAAGAAAATCTGGCCTTTCCGCGGAGGAAATTCGCAAAGCTGATATTGACAAAAATATTGATAGTTTTAATGTGATACTCAAAGAGATTTGTGGGCAAGCCAGAAGTGGGATCCACTACTATGAATCTATTAATACTCTGATCAGGAAAGCCCTCCAGGATGCTAAAGAGAGAACAGAGATCTCTGAACAGAAAAAGAGCCGTTCCCAATTCTCAGAAATCGTTGCTGAAGTAGGCCAAGAATATGAAGATGACGGTGACGAAGAATTCCGGAATATCCCTTCACTTGAACCCGAAGTTGATGCTGAAAACTCAGACAAGAATAAGCTCGTTAATTACTGGAACCAAGCTCAGAAAACAGTTTTATTCACCTATGCTTTCCTGATTTCTCCCACAAATGGAATTATTCTAGAATATCTAGACAATCAAGGCATAAACTACACTGTGAACAAAGAGGCTAGCTCAGGAACTGGATCAGAAGAAATGGTTCCAACTTCATTTCTGCTTACAACATCAATTCTAAAATTCTGTGAGACACTATTCAAATGTGCTGAAAAGTCGCTCTACAGCAAAGTATTCACTGATGAACTTGTGCTGTCATTTATAAAGATCCACTGGGTGTCATTCCTGATCCTCTACAGACATAGCTCCAGTCCTGAAACTTCAATGACTCACTTGGAGAACTTCAGAGAGGAGTTTCTAAATGGCAATACCCAAGATTTTAATAGTCAAAGGTATAAGAAGGTTGAAGCTAATATTTTCTCAACAAAAGACTCCTTAATGACGCTTTGAAAGTCTCATTTAAGAGTTGTGTGCATTCTTGCTAATAATCGTAGTGAATCCATTAGGAAAAGCATCTTCAAGTTCAAAATCCTCGAGTTCTGAGCTCGGGAAATCAACTATGAATGCGATGAGCGTATTGAAGAAGAGAAAGGTAATTTGGTTATCAACTAGACTTATAGACCCAAAAGAATATTGTAACACTCCTCAAGTGTTCAAACCTTCCTATGAACTTCGCGAAGAAGTGATCAAGCCTGAGAAGGAACAATCCTACAACCATTCTAGCTCAAGTCCTGTCGAATCTCAAGAATCGTTCGAGAGAGAGCATCGTATTGAGGAATCTTATGGGAATATAACCCACTCACAAGAGGAAGAAAAAGGTATTTTTCAGATTCATTTTAGGCACCCCAACCTTGGCCAACCAGAAGAGTGACAATAGCCAAGGATTTGATTTGAATCCGAAAGGAATCAAGAGCAACAAGTTCGCCCTTGATCTTTCAAAGGTTCAGAAGAAAGGAGAGCCTGTTCCTCAGAACAATGAAGAACAAAAAGAAGATAAGCTCAATATTTATACCCAAGAGAAGCACGAATTTAATGAAAGGAGCAGTATTGGAAGAAACTCTGAAGTAGCTACTATTATTAATCAGAGGAACAACGCTGGGAGTAGCAGGTCTTCTAGTCTTGACTCTAGTAGTAGTGGGCTTGGATTTGTGCCCCCTCCAGAGATGAATCCTAATAGAATTATTCAGAGCCAAGCTAAGAGCACAACACCTGTCCCTGCTATTGGAGGGTTAGGTCTAAAGCTTGATCTTGCCAATGTTCCCACAGCTCATGTTATTACTCAAGAGGATAAATCAAGACAGCAAGAGTTAAAAGATCGTGAACTTTACGCTCATTCAAACACAATGAAAATAAAAATAAGTGCTGGTGTTTCTCATGAAGACAACAAGTTACTTCAAAACACTGTAAAAACTCCAATAGTCCCTCCTAAGATTCCAGGTATCGGTGGATTTGGAGGTGGATTCAAGCTGAATTTAGCTAAAGTAGATACCGCTAACTTGATCACTGAAGAAGATATGAAAAGACAAGCTGAGCTCAGCATCCCCAAGATCAGTAAGAACAACTTCACTGATAACCCAGAAACCAAAGGAAAGAAGCCTAAAAAGTTGAATTTAAAGCATAAGGACAGTACTACAAAAATTTCGATGAACGAATCTTCAGTACCAAACTTAAAAATCAAAAAGCCTAAGAGGAAGTTTAAGAAGAACCAAAATGCCCAGAAGAAGACCAGGAACGTGAACCCATCCAAAGTGAGCAGCCTAGTGATCGATAACAGTGAGGCTTCTAGCATATTTGAGTCACTTGAAAATAACCCTAATTATCAAATGCCAGGAATTGATGAGACCTTGAACCAGACTCGGGATGGATTACCTGACAATGTAATAGACTTAACACCAAGCAGGCTTGCTAAGAATGTTAGTAACTCGAATATCAGTAAGCATTCTGATATTTCGAAGTCGGATATTAGCAATGGAAGCTATGTAGGCTCCAACAAAGTCTTCGTCCCATCCCTCAACATTCAGGAAGATGTAATTGAGAAGGAGGAGAAGAGGAAAAAGAAAATGGAAGATGAGGTCAGACTTAGAAGAATGAGCGACAAAAGCAACCCAAGATTCCAGATTAAGAAAGAAAAAGGAGGCAAGAATATTAAAGCTTTAACAAAATCTAAGAATAGAAACATTTTCGCGGTAAGTCGAGCAGTGTAATAGTTTAGGAATTGAATAAAAGTAATTCAAAATAATTCACAGCCTGCAGTTGCTAGTTCTAACAGCAACTCTGAATCAATGTATGAAGAGAGATCCTCTCAAGGAAATGCTTTTCCAGCACCAATGGCACTCAATTTATCCAAAGTTCAAAAGAAAGGAGATCCTCCTAAGGTTAAAGATAACTCATTCTTTGAAAAAGAGGATGCTTCTCAGCATTGGGATGTAAAGCCAATTGACAAAAATTCTGAAGCTCGTAAAGAGCTCACTGTGACTTTGGGACAAGATTCCAAAGTAAACATGAATATCCCAATTGGAAAAATAAACAAAGATCAAAACTTAGGTTTATTAAATGTGGCTAATATTGGTCACAACGCCCAGAACTTACTTTGTGATGAGAAAGAGTTTAAAGGAATCTATTATGACGATGAGTTGCATATAATGCTTATTTATTTAATCTTTTCATTGATTATAACACCTCAGAAAGGTTCATTAGACCCTCTATACTGTTCAAGACATCCGATAGAGGATGGAAAGCCTCCAGTGCTCTACTATTTGCACTTCCATCTGAATCATCACTCGAATCAAGCATTAATTCCCATGTTGTACAAGAAGGTAATTTTTACTTAAATCTGTAGGTTGACGGTCAATTTTGTCAGAATTCAGGGGTCAGGCTTCTCAAACTTCTATGTAAGACCCTCTTTGACAGGGAACTTTACCAAGAAAATGAACTCATCGCTAAAGGAGCATATGGAGTAGTTTATCAGTGCAAGACTCAGTGTGATGAACCCGATGAAGTAGCAATCAAGCAGATGAAATTCCCTAAAAGTATCGAAAATAGAAGTGTTGTCTATGACGTTTTCTCAGAAGTCCATGCTGCCACTATAGAGCCTCTTAAGACCAATCCAGCAGTAGTGGATGTCTATGACTACGGAGTTGACAATAGTGGGTACCATATAGTCATGAAAAGGTATAAGTACTCTCTCAGGAACTGGAGATTGGCTCAGGAGAAGTCTCTGAATGATAACTTGTCACTCTACCTTTCTCTTTACAAGGAGGTACTGAAAGCAATAGAGCTGCTGCATAGCAATAACATTACTCATTATGATATAAAAGCTGATAATGTCTTTTTGGAAGTCATTGACCCAGAGAAGAATCCTCTTGATTTGTCAGAATCATGATTCAATGTGGCAATTGGAGATCTGGGAGAATGTAAGATGTTTGTCTCGAATGAAGACGAATTCTGTGAAAAGAACCGTGGAACTGAAGTCATTATGTCCCCAGAAATGCTCATGCTGGCTATTAATATTAGAAAGGACACTGAGAAGTATGATAGAAGAAAGAGAATGGGAACTAACAGGCTTAGTGATATCTGGAGTCTGGGATGATTGTTCTATGAACTCCTTACAGGCAAAATTTTGTTTGAACCACATGAGCTATTTAAATTATACTCTGATACTGATGAGCTAATTGAGCCAGAGAAATTCGAGCTTCTGGGAAACAATGTGTATCTCATAGATTTCCTAAAATTCATGCTAATAAAAGATCCTCATTTTAGGCCAGAAATATCTGCAGTTATAAAGAGATTTGAGCATGTTCATGCATTATTAGTAGTAACTGGTCCATCTCAGCTAAGAGTCACTAGCAATAAGGCATATATGACCGAAGGTGTGATGATGAAATCACTAGTTGAGAGCACACATATCCTCCAGCTAGACCATGAAAATAGGCTCCATAACAACTCATTCAAAAAGCTTCAAAATGAGCAACAGATAGCAGTCAGGTCAATTATGCCAATCAATGAAGATATTTGCTATAAACCCTCAAAAATATCTATTCATAATAAATCAGATAAAGAAAATTGCTTTGCTGATCAAAGACTTGTTAATTCATTGCTATACTGCAGCAAAGATTACTTGCAAACAGCTAGAAATTTGATTGACATGAAGATCACGCACATCATCTCCATTGCACCTAAAAGTAAGTATAACGAATTAATATTTGTAGGAGAACTTAGCCATCTAAATCAATCTTTTGATATCCTCTTCATTAACGAATATTATTCCAAAGAAGCACAGAAGGAAGGAATCTGATATCCTAGAATTTTAGCAGCAATCCTCGACTTCATGAGAAAGGCAAAGATTAGGAAAGGAAAAGTATTGTTTGTTGAGGAAGATGAACTTCTTGATTCAACATCCCCAAAGTCCATTGTAGGGGAGTATGTTCTCCTCGCTCTTAGTAGGATCTTGTCAGTCCCTGCTTATGAAATCTACACTATGATCCGTACAAGGAACCCTATATTTGATATTTCACATTCAAATTTATGCAACATCTCAACTTGGTGTTCGAAGCAGCTTAAGATCCAGTATTACCTTAGGACATTGCCCACTTTAGAGTGTATGTGAGGGGCTTGTTGTATCATTCTCAAGAGGAAATTCGGAAATATGTCCAATATGCACTCCACCAGTTGCTCATGCCTAGGAAACAGGAGCTTTGAGAATAGTCATTGTCCATCTCCAGGCTGCTACAATTTTATCATGTACATGAGGAAAGTCAGCCATAAGGTCAAATATGATAAACTCAAATGGGGATATCTTGGTAAGGAAGATTTCATTCTTGGCCCAAAAATTGGGGCTGATACTTCAGAGAACCATCCTGAAACCATCCAGAGACAGATCCTTGCTGGAAGTCTTACAATTGATCAGAACTGCGAACCTCTCCAGGCTTCTACAGAGGATTCTGAAAGCGCTCTTACAGATTGGGTAATTTATAGATGTAAATACTGATATGTCTGGATGTACTCTTACTGAAATGCTGATGATAGCTATGCAATACTGCTAAATAACCAAATAAAGCCAAATCATTCTGGATTATCCAGGAGTTAGTTAAATTTTAACCAAAATTAGTTTTAAATGCCTTTTTCAATGCTAATTTATACCCTCGGGGTTTTGGGGTTTTGGGGTTTTGGGGTTTTGGGG